GAAAACAAACCCGTTTTCCTAGCACTATAGGATTAATATGTCCCCCTCCCTCGGGACCCTCCTCCTATGCTGCTGAAGTAGTTAAAACCCCTTCAGCCACTTACCTAAATCCAGCACTGATGTCCCTCAGTGCAAAAGGGTCACAACACCCAGAATACTTCAATTAGCTGATGTGGTCTGTGTGCCTACAGTGCCCCTTTAATATAAATTGTAATTTATTCTTTCTTAAGTATGACAAAGTGAGTTATTATAGTAGAAAAATAATATAAATAGACTAACTATTTTGTACTTAAGCAACTTAAGCATTACTGTGTGTAGGCCACAAAAACATGATGCATTTAGTCTGTCTATCAGAGGTCAAGTAAATCAAAATTTGCTAAATTTTTTCAGAAAGTTCCTTTAAAAAACAAATAGGAAAATTTAGGTTATCTGTCTGTGTCACGTTTTATTTTCAACCTTAAATACAGATTTATTTTTTTTCTTTATAAAGATTTCTAATAATAAAGTGCTGACACTAAGCCATTGATTTAACATCCAACCATACAACTGTTCTACAATGTGTTTGATATTTGTATTACAAATACATTTCCTTTACTGCATTTATTAAGTCTCGTATTGAATATAAGTTCAAAAGGGCATAGTCAATATAAGTTTGTGCTGTACATGTACAATGTACAATGATGTTTGTGTTTTTATTTTCAAAGTATCTGTCAACATGACACATTCATATTAGGTTTTTATATGGAAGTAATCTCATTTTAGCTGTTATTCTTCATTTTTTAATTTTCTTTCAATGCTATATAATTTTATTGTGTAGGGTTTGTACTTTTCATTTCTTCATTACCTTGCCCTTCAGACACTATTTCGATTTGTGTTCTGCCTGGCTGGATCCATGGCATAAGGCGTCTTCTTGACAGTAAGGCAGTAGAAACTCCAGTTTTATTACCCATAACAAATAAAAGTTATCTTCCCTCTTTAAAGCTTATCTTTGACTCTGGGTGCCTACAAGTTCAACAACACAATGTTGATAGAATGCCATTGAGCAGATGAGACAATTAGATTGTATCCATTTGTTTAAAGGATTTAAGGTCTCTTTACAGCCTTTATGAGACTTGTTTGTTTTTATTGCCTAATACTACTCTGTGAAAAGACAGATAAGCAAAAGATAATTCTCCTCTTTTTTCTTTTTGTAGGAAGATCTAATAGGAAGATCATTAATATAGTTTAGAAAAACCTTATGACACACATATTCTTGTTATCATGCTGATATAATTTTCTAAATCAAAGTACTTTAAACAGATATTAAACAATAATGTATTCATTTTTAATAGGATGGTTTCCGATACAGAAAAAAGAAAATATATCTGTACTCTTCATTTTGAGGATTCATTACAAAGGAACATAGCAGGAAAAAATGTGTTTATGTTTAATACTTATATACATCTTGTACTGTTGTGCAATTCACTGTTATATTTAAGTTCTAGGTATATTGTATTGAACATTTTATCTGTATTTTATTGCAGTATGGAGGAAATTCATTTTTCTTAATAAAGGATTTTCTCTTAACACTTCATTGCTGTCTGATAAACCAGCTAAAGAGAGACAATGGGTTGTTATCTAGAATTTGTGCAGGACCCCTTTTAACCTCACAGTTGCTTTATCGCAATGCTTGAATGCATAATATTTTCAAGAGTAGCTTTTTAATAACTTCTAACTATGTGATGGACCATTTACTATTTGATGAAATAAAAAAATAGAAAAGTGCAAAGAATCATTATTAAAATAAAATCAATGTCTACTTACAATTGTGAATATTTCCCTTAGAAAGAAAAGATATACAATTAGAGCTAATACATCCTACAGCTATTAAGGTTGAAACACTGTAATGTCTGTAATGTCGTGGACTGTTGAACAGACATTTGAATTATTTTGAGACCATTGATTTGGCTATATCTGTTTTTTTGTTCCCTAGTCAGTACATAATCTAAACAAAATATAATGGAATCAACTACACTTTTTGAACAAGTAATGTTATTTTAAAGCTCCACTGTCATGAAAACTTACCTTTCCTCAATCACATCCTCTTCTCTCCCTCTCTCAAGATCTGTTCTTCATTTCTTCCTGTCTGCTCTACTTTTCTTTAAAACATAAGACAAAGTAGGGACTATTTTGTCTTATGTATTTTTCCTACACTTCACAAGCTTTGACCCAGGGGAGGAGCAAACTCTGCTCCATTTCCTGTGGTCAAAGCAATTTTCCCACAATTCTCACCTTCCTCCTGTTGTTTAATTCAGCGTTCGAACACTGGTGAAACTACTGAATTTCATCCTAACAGAATGAGAATAGTTTGTCCATTTGTGTTAGGATGAAATTCGGGACTTTTGTTCGGAATGGAATTTTATTTGAATGAATGAAACTCTGATCCTATTTGTGCCGCAAGTAGATAGCTCACTAATTCCCACGGTATTAGGGAGCTATCTACTAAAAGGCTGAAAGACCTAAATTGGTCTTTCAGCCAAATTTACTAATACTAAGTCAATATAACTTAGTATTAGTAATAAATCTGCCCCTACTAGCTATACACCAAGTAGGGGCATGTCTACTAAACAGCAAGCAGCCAGTGGCTGCTCACTGTTGTAAAAACACCCCAACTACTTTGGTGCTATGCTTAGAATTCAACTTTGATAGCAGTCACAGTATCCAAAACTCCTACACAAAAAGTATATACAATTGCAGAAAGTAGAGCACCCATAGTATTCAACAAATAACTTTATTAAATGAGCCATGAAGGTCAGGCCCCTCCTCCTGCCTTCAATCGTTAACCAATCACTAATACATTTTGCTATTGAAGCACCGATTGGATTTTTTGGTTTGGCTGTGTCCAATGCCACAGACTTTCTACTAAGAGCACTATATCTTAGAAAAGTTAATATTTCAATGTGTTTTACTTACTTGCAACATCTAAGAAATAAGTCACAATATCCTTATAGCTATACCCAGGACTATGAATTACTACAACCATTAGCACAATATGTTGATGTTTTTCTTCAAGTTCTGGTGGTACAAATGATATCGTACATACGTGACACAAGTGATTTCTTAGGGAAATTGGATGTACTTAGATATCCAGATGGTGACGTGTTTCTGTGTTCTATGGATGTATGGAGTTTGAAGCAGCTGAGCAGTTTTTGGATAAACTTGAGCTAGACCTGGGTTTGATAGGATTTGTCTTATCACTGCTTGAACTTGTTTTGTCATGTAATTATTTTACCTTCGGTGATGATTTCTTCCAACAGATACAAGGTTATTGAAGACTCAGGGTAAGAATAAGGAAAATACTTCTAACCGCATTCCGTGCATCACTACATATTCGACTAAATCTGGCCTGGTCAAACATATTATCCACAAGAACTGGCACATCTTACAAAGTGATCCATCGATCCGTGACCTTTTTAATAAGAGACCTCTTATGACTTATAAGAGATAATAAAATATTAGGAGTTTAGTATCACCTTCTAGAGCTAAGCCTTCCACCACTTGGTTTACACCGTTCAGGGGCATGCACTGGTGTGGACATTGTGCCAATTGCAACAATGTCACAACTGGTTTACCCATCCGAGAACTGGTAAATCATTTGGCACTAAGGAATTTTTTAACTTTCAAACAGATCGTGTGATTTGTTTTATAAAGTGCCCTTGTGGACTTGATTATGTAAGTCAAGCTTCGAGACCCCTAACAATATGTATTGGGGAACACAAAAGTACCATCGGCACAAACAAACGGCATATTCCCAAGGCTAAAAATGTAATTGATTCCGGCCATTCTGTGACTCAACTTAGATTTCAGGCCATACAATGAATAAAGAAACCTTACTCTGGCTGTTCCCTTACAGGCTCACTCAAACGGGTGGAACTTCAAAGGATTTATCATTTGGGTACATTATTTCCTCACGGATTGAATGAGGATTGCAATTTCAATCATTTCAGGTAAACTCGGTCGATTTGACCATATAACCTGTCTCATGGAATACATTACACTCTCTTTTGACTCTTGTATTATACTGACTTTGCTGTTTGTTACCTCTGCCTGGTGATTGTGGATTTATTGTATATTATATGATTTTAGCTTTCTTCTATTTTGTTTTAGTCTTTTTTGTATGTGGGATTCTTTCCACTGGTGGCCCTATGATGATGTGATCCTTCCTGTCTAACATTGAACTACTTTGGAAATTGGACGAATCTTTACCCAGTATTGATTCATACTCATTGGATGGAAATGGGAATACACAACATTGGCATATCGCTTATGGACTTTGAATATTCCCGGAACATTGTTGAGCTTTTTTGATTATGTGTGTGCTTGGTTGTTGCATATATATATGAGATATTTGTGCAATAATTTATCATTTGAGACATTCTATGTATGGTTTTTGTATTACGATCATGAGGAGCATTGACTATATTTGCATGCCCCCATGAGCTTAGAGAATTTTGGTCTATATACATTATGGCTATTCTGACCACTATATCATAGTCTCTAAGCTGAACCTTCTGTCCCTCAGTATAATAATTATGGCTTTATAAAAACTGATCAGATTGCCCTTATGGATGTGTTTATTTTACATATAATAACTAGATTTATGCTGTATACCCTATTGTTTTTAATACATTGTTTTTCTTCTATTCTATTTGTATGCCATCTCCTGGGTTTTACATGCCAGTGTGCAGTGGTGTGTAAGGTCAAATATTTTTACCCATTGTTCTTCTGTGAAAGTGTCTCCCGTCATTGTTTCCCATTTTCCCATGTAAGGGGGTGGGGGGAGGTTCCTATTGTGTAGGAGCAGAGTATATAGGTGGGATATGGTGTGTAAGAGTGAGTCTGGGTCCGTTACCAGGCTTTCAAACATGGTCAAAGTCCTGTAGAGGTCAGGGTGCTGTAGTATATTTTTCAGGAACTGTTGGATCTGTTCATATTTCAGTCTGTGTGTATCGTCCAGGAAGTCACTGAGGAGTTTGATTGTGTTGTCCGTCCTCATGTAGCTCACTTGAATCAGGCAAGCGAATGCCCGTGGGTCCATGCCCGGGGTGAAGTCTGGGTTGTTTGTGAGTGGGTAGAGAGGGGATGGAAAGGAGGTGAGGCCCATCTGTGTGGCCACCCTTTGCCATACATCCAAGGTTGCCTTCACCAGTGGTTGATGTTGTGAAATATGTTGTCCTGTAGTTGGGGACATCCATGTCAACGCTTTCAGGGTGCCACCAGTTTGGACTCTCTCTATCTCTTTCCAATGCTTGACCATTGCATCCTTGACCCATTCCAGAACACGTTGCAAGTGGGAAGCACGATAGTAAAGTCGGAAGTCAGGGACTGCTAGACTGCCTTTGAGTTTCGGGCGGGTGAGCATTAGATATTTTAGCCTTGGTGTGCCCCCGCCCTAATTGTACTTAATCAAAGACTTAAAGTACACAATCAGCATCTTTATGGGAAGAGTCTGAAACAGGTACAATATGCGAGGCAGGAGATTCATTTTTATCACCGTTACGCGGCCAATCCATGACAAATGAGGCAGCTTCCATTCTTCAAAATTTTTATTGAAATTGTTTAGCATCGGAGTGAAGTTGAAACTATAGAGTTGGGTGAGATCTCGGGAGTATCCACGTCCCCAGGTACTTGATAACCCTATCAGACCAGTGGAAGTGCAAGCTTTGGCGCAGTACGTCGGCCCTCTCTGCCGTTGATTTTGTGAGGTTAATCTTGAAGTTAGAGATCCTTCTGTAGATTTTGAATTCCCGCATTATGTTGGCGAGGGTTGTCTCAGGCAGGGAGATGAAGAAGATCAGGACATCCGCGTACGCGGCCACCTTGTGCATCGAGGTTCCCATCACAAGTCCTCTTATATCCGGATTTCTCCTGATTGCCTGCAAAAATGGTTCCAGGGCCAAAATAAACAGCAGAGGCAAAAGTGGGCAGTCTGGTCCTGTAACGGATGTGGAATGCTTCCGTGTAAGCTCTGTTAATGCATACCTTTGCCGATGGGTCAGCATACAGTGATGTAATCCATTTATACATATGAATATGAAGTCCCAGCTTACTCTGTTGAAGAGAAGGCCTGTGTTTGTCTGCTAATTGTGGTGAATCAGGAACACGGTCCTGGTGGTGTTGTCCCTCACCTCCCTGTGCGGTATGAACCCAACTTGGTCTGGTTTCACAAGGGACGGCAGGTAGGGTGTCAGCTTGGATGCCAAGATCTTAGCAAAAAGCTTTATGCCGCAGTTCAATAGGGAGATAGGCCGGTAGTTGGTGCAATGCTCCTTGTCCTTACCCTCCTATCAGGATATCAGGGCTATGTTTTTCATAGAGCGTCTGGGAGGTAAGCTTCTGTCCCTGGGTCAATGAGCTATAAGCAGACAGGAAATGTGGAGATATGACATCTGAAAACAGTTTATAGTATCGTATCGTCAGTCCGTCAGGGCCCGGGCTCTTGCCTGGTTTTGATGACTTGATTGCCAGCGCCAATTTCTCCATAGTCAGGGTGGCTTCCAGCACCTCGGACGCTGCCTCTGGGAGTTTCATGTGAAGATTATCGACCAGGTAAGTTTTTATAGTGTCGGTCTGGCGTGTGCCTGCGGGTGAATTCTTTCAGTACAAGTTTTTGAAGTAGTCGCGTGCTACTTTGGCGATGCGTGTTGGCATCCTCTGTGGTTGGCCCTGTGTGTCACGTAAGCCGGTAATATACGTCTTGTTCCATTTCTTATTTATAAGTGTGGCAAGAAGTTTGTCGCATTTATCACTGTTTATGTAAAAGAATGCTTTAGTGTGCTGAAGAGAGTGTTGGTGATGTTGTCGGAGGAGAGAGGGTAGTTGCCCCCTCACGTCTGCTAGTTCTTGATATGTGTCTAAGGTGTTGGCAGTTTTGTGTGGGGTTTCCAAATCTTGGATTTTATCTGTGAGGTCTCTAATCGCTGTCTCCCTACTTTTCTTCAGCGTAATGTCCCTTGCCAAGAAGAATCCCTGTATCGTGCATTTATGGGCCTCCCAGATAATAGCGGCGGGTGTTTTGGCCATTGTGTTTTCCATAAAGTATTGCGTCAGTGTCGTGTGTGCATCTTTAACCAAGGTCATGTTTGAGAAGAGAGTTTCATTAAGGTGCCAATGGGTGGTGCGGGGTCGAAAGAGAGGGGAGGTCACAGTCCTTGTTATCGGTGCATGGTCCGACCATGTCATGGTGCCTATGCATGCCTGTCTGACGTGGGAGAGGTAGTAGTATGGTATGAAAAAGTAATCCAAGCGGGAGTATCTGGAGTTGGGTATGGACTAGTGTGTGTAGTCTCTATCTGTTGGGTGCATGGCCCTCCAGTAGTCTATGAGGCGGTGAGTGCAAAAGGTGTGCCTGATTGTCTGAAGGATCTGCTCCGGCATCGCTGACATGCCTGTCGAGGTAGAGAGGCAGCACTCCAGGACAATGAAGGTAAGTTTATTCATGGGTTCACCACCTCACCAAAAAATAAGTGTGACATTTCGGCTCCACACAGCCTTAATCAGTCTGTGTAGGCCATTCGAGGTTCTAAGTACAAGCCAATATACTAATACACAGGTTGAGTTTTTTATGTCAATTTTGAACTTGTTATTACATAGAAATTATTTTCTGTTTGGAGATAATTACTACAGACAACTCATGGGTACCACTATACGTTCGAATATGACTCCATCACATGCCAACCTATTCATGGATGGTTTCAAAACCAGACACGTGTATGCGCATGATTTATTCATTTTGCATGCGCGTGTCTGGTGGAGATTCATCAATGATGTGTTTGGCATATGATGCGGCACCAGGGTAGATTTAGATTTGTTTCTTCATGATATGAATGTGATTTGTGGTGATATTCAGTTCACTATGGACTGTAGTGAGGTCACTATTCACTTTCTAGACCTTAATATCACCCGTCAGGGTGATGGTTTTCTTACTGATCTCTATATCAAGCCCAATGACAGGAATAGCTTATTAGAATTTACTAGTTTTCATCCACCACAGAACATTTGTGCCCTCCCACGTAGTCAAAATATTAGAATAGCAAGAAATGTGTCATACCCATTAATTTGGCAACAGAGACTCAATGAGATGAGCAAAAGGTTCCTAAGTCCTGGGTATCCAGTTACACTTATTGATTCTGAGAAAGAAAAAGTGTTAAATATGGAGAGGGATTCTCTTCTTAGACCCAAACAGAAAGTATCTAATAATCAAATGCGAATACCTTTTGTATCCACTTACAATTTAAATAGTAATAGAGTGGCCAACATTATTCGTACCCATTGGGGGATCCTTAAGAGATCATTCCCTTATATTTTGGAATTCCAATCTACTCCATTATTCTCATATAGAAGACCCCAGAATATTAGAAACACACTAGTTCAAGTGGATATTGGACCCTTGAAACATAAAAAACAGAGGTTTCTTTCAACCCCGGTTTATGGAACTTTTCCGTGCCATAACTGTAATTCATGTAATTCTATTATTAAAGGTTATAATTTTTTCCATCCTCAAACAGGCAGGTCATATAGCATTAAACTATATTTTAGATGTGAATCTACATAAGTTGTTGATGCTCTTAAATGTCTATGTGGCCTTCTCTACATAGGAGAAACCACTATGAAAGTCCGTGAGAGACTTAATAAACATAAATCCACAATTAGAATGAAACAGAAAGAACTACCTATACCTGCTCATTTCTTGGAACATAACCACAATATTTCTCAACTATGTTTCTAAGTTATTGACCATGTGCCTCCATTGAGGAGAGGTATTAATCGCCAGGGCTTGCTTAAAAAGAGAGAATCTTTTTGGATTCATACATTAGATACCTTATGGCCTAAGGGACTTAATAGGGAGTTTTCTTTTACTTCCCTCTTGTAATTGGGTACATACTTATAGTGATTCATTTCAGGTTTTCTCTATTTTTTTTTGTTTCACTGTGCTTCTCGAAGTTACATCTTTCCCTTTTGTACCCACCTGCTTTGTGGTGGTTCTACAGCACATTTTTTGTCATTTATATGAGTCACAGTATATTTCATTTGGTATTCATCAGTGTATTTTCTTTCCTGTTATGGAATATTTACTATAGATGAGTGTATTACTATGTTACTATGTAATGGGTTACTGCATCTTTAAGATCCTGATCCTATACTTGAGTAGACACCATGCCTTGTTTTTATATGTCACTCATACATATGTTTTAACATGTGATTATAATCTTTGATTAACTCAATTGGTTTTGGGGTTATTTAAACACTGCTGTTATGATGTATCCCTTATGCATGATTAAGACTTATTTTTTGGTGAAGTGGTGAACCCACGCATAAACTTACCTTCGTTATCCTGGAGTGCTGCCTGTGTTTCTGTTCTTTGATACTGCATTGGTGGATTCAGCGGTGTCCATCCTACACACAGAGTGCCCCCTTGGTGGAAGGCCGGAACATTCATGCGGAACTTGAGTGCAGGGTATACTGTTTTTGTGTGCCTGTCGAGGTGTCAGCCCGAGGATCAAGGGCAATGTTAAAGTCTCCCCCTAGGATCAGGAATCTGTCTGTAAAGGACATAAGTGACTTAAGTGTGGATTTTAGAAACTTTCCTTGTTTGGTGTTCGGTGCGTAAATGTTGGCTAGTGTGATATTCTAGCCCAGTAGTGAAACCTTAAAAAATTTTTAGCAGTCATTTATTCACATTTATTTTTATGTATTGATATATTTTTAAATATGATATATGTTTTGATATGTTAATATTTTCTTTTAAACTCTTTTATTTGTCGTTGTACAATAAAAAAAAAGACAGGCATATATGATACAAGTACATTACAATATACCAATAAGACTTTGCATAAGGGTAGTAACTTGTATATCTGGCACAACATTTCTTTGTTTAGAAACCAAATGCAGCTGTAAAACAGCATACATCCTAAATAAAACAAAACATGCTCTCTCACATGCAACATACTCAAAGTAGGATCAGTATGTAACATCTTGCCTTTAATGCAATTAGAGACTGGAGCAACATGGGGTATTAGGCAAGAGGGCCCAGCTGAAAGGATCACATTGTATTCTGTGATATGTGGTTGACTCACTATTACTCTAGCAATACACCAGCCTGTGAATTCAAAAATGTATTAATGTTTGAGCTGGAGAGATCTATCCCAAGAATTAATATAATTTTACCAGTTTATAAATGTATTTTTCTATAGAGTATTTTAGAGTATTTTTGTGCAATGAAGCTTCAATTAAAACCATTTTAAATAAAAAGGAGACTTTGATATGAAGCTGTGACAAAAGAGGAGGGGAGGGAATAATCCAGTGATTAGATAGATAGATAGATCGATAAATAGATAGATAGATAGATAGATAGATAGATCTAAACAAAAAAAAACTATATATATATTGTTTAGCTAGATATTCATTTTACTGAAATCTAGTAAGAACAGTTAAGCTGTATCAGAAACTTGAGTTCTGAGAACAATGTTATTGTTTACATTTATTGTTCTATTCTACAGTAGTTGTATTAGACATTCGGCTATTCAGAATAATTAGAGTATATCAGATGCTCGGCTTCTGAGAATAATTTTAGTTCTCATATTTACTGCCCTATTATACAATGCCTTAAACTTTTTCATGACAAAACAGTATTTACAACGTGAATAAAAACCTCATTCCACATTGTGCAGAATTTGACTAAAGAATAGATACAGAGAAAGTAGGTTCTTATTTATTTCATTTGATTTTTTACTTCCCCACCTTCCTTTATATTCAAACCTTTTCTTATTGTAAATATACCTAATGCATTTGTATGTAATGCCATACAGAAATCTTAATGGTGCAAAAAAATAATAATTATTTGCTTGTAATTATTTTAGAAAGATATATTGCTATTGTCTGTTTATAAGTTTATAAGTTATAAGTATAAGTTTATAAGTTGTATGGACTTTCCAATGTTACAGGCCTAACCTAAACATATTATGTTAATATTAAAGTACCACATAATAATTATTATCAAAACAAGACCAAAAAAACCTTGCATACAACCAATTTGGAGATAGATAAGAAAACATAAAGGAAAAAGAGATGATGCAAAAAACCCAGAACACCAGTTCATTTAAGAGGCAAGGAGAGGGATAGAATCAAAACCTATTAAGAAAATACCTGAAATGGATTTTGCACATCCAAATTGATTCAGTTTACTGTCAGACAATAATACAGGTGAAAAGTACAATAAAAATTATCATTTTTCATCCTCTTTTTTTAGAACCCAACAATTTCAATAGTTTCTGAAAAAGATTAGGGAAAATAACCTGTGCTCAAGAAGAAGGGATATTAGAGCAGGACAATGCCTTCACAGGAAGGAAAAGGGGGAGACTATACCAATAGGGATTTTTAACATATATAAAACTTTGACTAAGAAGCATATACAAGTTTTAAATAAAGGTCTAAAATGTGTCCCCATTTGTTTTAATCAACATTTTAAAACATGTGGATATGCATAAATTTACTAAGAATTTGTGCCTTAAAAGATTCTTTTTGAAACACTCACCTATTAAAAATCAAAAAGACGACTCGGATGAATGTATACATACCAAATTAAAGGAAAGATCAAATATATTTTCCAAAGCAATACAAAAGTGGTTACGAACGGTGTAAAATAAATGTTGAATAGAAAGAAAAGACAAAATAGTAACACCATTAAATTTTGCCCAGAGAAATGCATGGGTGATTTAAGTAAAGATAAGAGTCTTGTCATTAGACCAGCAAACAAGGAAGGGGGCACAGTCCTACAAAAAAAATAGGACTATGTGAAAGAAATATATAGGCAACTAAATTATGCATTAAATTGTAAAGAATTGCCTAAGGACCCTCCAGAAAATATAAAATCTTCATTTAAAAATGATGTGTAATCTGATTCATTATTCTTGACAACTCCGGGGGGTCTAGTTTTCACCAGTCTCTAGCAATGCACAAAATATTTACCACTTTAAGTATTTGCAGTGATTATTCATCTCCGGTAAATCTAGGTGGAAGAGCAACATTTGTGGCTTAAATGTAAACTCTACCTAGAAGATGTCAGCTAATGTTTCTTCTACTTTAACTTTAATCTGTATTTTCTTGCAGTTCCACCAAATATGGTTCATTGAGCCCTGCACCTTAAACCATCTCCAGCAACAATCTGGAGTAGATTTATTAAA